ACTCGTGTAAGCATGAGGTTTATGCTGATTAAAGCCTTACAACACGGCAATTGTCTTATGTTACTTCACTACAGGTAGAACATTAGAAAAACAAATATTGAACGTGTCACATGCCACTCACTGTAGACAACACACTTATATTCTAAAAAAGGAAACCAACCATCATGTAGAAGTTCTTTTGGACCTCTGATGCATAGATTGATGCCAGGTGTTGATCTCCATCTTTTTTCTTGTTTTTTCCTCGTCTTTTTTTTTCATCTGGGAAAGCCTGGAGGTATTTCTTTTCAATTTCAGCTTGTTGCTCTTGCCAATATTCAATTCTCTTTTCCAAGTGTTTCCGAAGTCCTGAATACAATTAATTTCATATTATATCATTTATTACAAAAAATGTAGACTGCAGAGTGGAAGGGGATTAGTGTGTCAATTTGAGTGAGTTTTATTCAATGTTTTGTTTCTTGATTTCAGGATGAAAATTGCTAATTATACAATAGAAAACAATGGAAATTGCATGAAATTGTGCTATTTAGTATTACTAAAGTTTCACGGCTATATTGTTTGCACTCTACACAAGTGAGCTAGGGTAACACTCAGCAGATTTATCTCTCCCCAGCTGAATTGCAAACATTTTAGTTCAGACTTACTTGGTAGATTTACAGTTTTTATACTTTCTTGGTGAGTGCCGTAGTCTCTCACAAATGTGTCATTGCTTAGTTGTTTTTTAAATACCTAAAAGTAATTACCAAAAAATAGAGGAGAAGGAGAGATCAGTGGTCTGTCACCTATACTCTAAAGAAAATATGCACATATGCATGCATGGCATAGTCAGGGTGTAAACCTATAGTAGTCGCTCATGGCTACTATCTGAGATTATATTTGACTTCTGGCTTTCGGCTTGGTCAAATATAATTTCTCAAATGTTATGTAAATAGCCAACTTAAGTTTGTCTCGTAGGCAGTAATGTTGTAATTCTTGTGAGCTTTAAAGCTAAATGTGCTGAGCTGTAAATAAAATGGTTTTATTTAATTTTTGATTTAGTCACAGTTAAAGATGAAAATACTTTTTTCTAGTATTGGATATAATTTTTGGTGTGTTTTGCTCAATAACAACAAACAATCATTTACAAATTGAATGTATATTTTAACTTGTTGGTTTGTGTAAAGTACTGTACCTCTTCTATCAAATATTCGCAAAAGCTGTATCCATCGAGAAGAACTTGCTTTGCAGCATTAGGGGTCTTATCATAGTATGAAGTGATCTTTTCATTCGGCAAACCAATTTCCATTATTACTTCCAGGTTTTTCAAGATTAATCTCTCTGTAGGACCTAAAATGTAGAAATGTAGGAAATTATTTTATGCTACTAGTTGATTCTATTACTTCATAATTATTGTTAATGTTAATGTTAACAAATAAGCAATGTTGTTGTCTTAATTCACAAGTCATGAAGTAGTTAAAAGGAATAGATTTACGCATACTCATTTACAACCACTCTACTATAGTAATATACTGTCATGGTCATTGCGACAACAATAGCATTGACTTCAGATTGTGAAAAAGATGATGTAACTTATTACACATGTATGACAAAAAACAAAAAAAACAACAATTAGGAACGATCATCAACTGCAGGCAAATGCTAAAACATTGAGGTGGGCTTTTCAGCTATTTATTTCATATTACCTGAGAAGGTTGCAACTTTGATGTTGCTTTTTTCCACTGCTGTTTCCTGACCTTTTCTCAATTTCACAGTCAGTCGCTTCTCTTTAAAGCTCTCTGGTCCGTACTGCGACAAAGCATTATTCAGATCGTCTAATGCATTGCATCTATGAGCAAAAAGACCCACAGATCCTAGGAGCTGCTCAGTATTGCGCATCTCACAATGGAGAGCACATAACATAACATTACTGAGTTCTTCATCCAATATGAATTCCAGGTCATCCCTCAAACCTGTCCAGCTAAAAAATAAATAAAAAATCGCACAAATCTATGAAAAACCAGAGAGGCAGTTTACTGAAGTGTGAATTTTTCTTTGATGAAAGTAGTAATTAACATTGCGAACATTTTGTGTGCCTTTCAATGACTAATTACCGTTACCAAAGTTTTGCATGTTCACATTTAATCTGAATAAAGCAGTATTGTACTGTTGCATATTTGTCATCAATTCTAAAATATTGAAAACAGGATACCATTTAAATCTGTACTTGACCTTCAAAATCTGTACATTTGAAACAGTCATGATTTGACTGTATCATTTCATTGATATCATGGTCTGATTCAGGCATAACTCTGAGATATCCAAACAATATACATATAAAAAATTAATTGCTATGTACAGTTTTAAATGATATACTTTTTAAGTACCTCCCAACATTTCCTTTGCTTCTGTTGAAGCAGTCCTTCAAACATCCAACACATGCATCACCATCATCAGAAATAGGACATCCACAACCCTGTTAACAGTGATCACATGTTTAGTTACGTGTATTTATTTAATTACATTCAATATATTTCAAATAACTAGAAGCACATTTTTTGATACACAACTGAAAAATGTCTGTAATTTAATTGATTCATGAATATATGTAGAGTACTTTAGAGGTGGTATAGCTATGTGTATTTGCAAAAATTTAAATTTTAATCATGCTATATCAAATCATTTCTGATTTGCATTTACTCTACTCATTTCAGAGTGGTTATAATTTACTAATTGGTTTTACATTGTACATTCTTTATTATAAATTACAATATTAACTCACCCTGACAGCCATACAATATATACAAAACTCAGTATCCAATCCTTTTCCAGCCAATTTGAAGCTGTCATCTTCTGTGCTTCCCTTCCTTACCATGAGAAGACAAAGGGCTTTGTAATCAGCTGTGACTAAAAAGTAAATTTACTGTATGTGAATTAAGAGGTAGACCTAATTTTGTATGATTAAGTTTATAATTATACTTTCTGACTGATCTTGCCAATGAAGAATTCATGCTTCACACATCAATTATTTCTTTCATTTTGTCATTAGCTAATATAGTACAGAGCCAATTCAATTTGATCATCTTCTTGTTCAAGGATTAAAATTTGCAGAAAATTCTAAAAGTTGTAGTGAGGTAAAGCTATCATAAAAATGGATAGGTATGTAGTATAGATTAATAATATCCACTATTGTTTATATTATTTACATTTGTTAGAATTGAAAAAATACAATGAAAACCAAAGTTTTGTCTGTAAATATGAATAATATGATAATTATTTTATTGGTGTTAAATATGATGCTTTTACCTGTAAATTTTAAATTGTAGACTTTACCATCAACATTTATTCCACTTGTTTTAAGAGCTCTTTTCTGAGCATTTATCTGTCTCAACAATTTTCTTATCTCAGCTCTGCTCAATAAAGAAAGAATAAAAAAGAAAAATTAAAACCTAGGACATCATGACATCAGGAGGAGTTCTTACACACAATGCATTTAAGTTATAATTATGTCAGAGCAGTATGTAAATTTGCATTAATAAAAACAATTTGGTGATCTTCAACGAACAATGACATAAAATATTTATTGAAGGTTAATAAAAGTGTTACACTGATAATTCAGTAAAATGAAAGTATTTGTTTTTTAACTGATACTGAATCTGAATTTCTTTTTATTATAGTAGTTTATTAACAACTGTTTCATACAAACCTTGTCTCACCACAATTCGCAATTACTAGAGGATAAACTGATTTGCAGCTTTGAACTTTTGAATGTTCATTTATGGGCACTAGTCCAATCAAAACTTGATCTCTACCTGTTGATTCAGTTATTCTTTATTAATCATAGGTAGTTTAGAGAGAAAATTCTATAAATGTTGAGATTGGGCTGGCTCCAATTTTGTCCAGTGAGGGAATGATAACACACCTGCACGTTTAATCTTTTCTTTTTCTTTTTGATCAAAGCCCAGGATGGAGGATGCCAACAGGAAACCAGTCCCCTCCTTACTAAGGCTTTTGCCCAGTCCACACTCACTTCTCACTACACTCCTGTTAATTACATACACTCTACATTCGACTCACCATTTTGATGGAGGGAAGAAAACAGGGGGACCTTAAGAAAAACCCTCATAACACAAGATTTAGAACAACACATCGAATAAACTCAGTTCACATATGACCTGATCGAGCCAGAATTGAATCAGACTCATGTTTTTAAACTAATAATGTATAATTAATTGTCATATAAGCATATTGTATTACCTCCTAGAGATCTTCCATCAATCTTTATATTGAACTCCATATCATCACTGTCTTGCTTTAAAAGGCGCTGCTCTCTTATGGCCCAATATAATCGTTGATTTCAAGTCAACCTCATAAGCTTGTTTTTCAGTTTCCTCATTTCTCTTGATTCCCATTGTATCTTTGATTACACTGAAGATCAAACTTCTGACTGCCTTTATTTGACTTTTTGTCAAAATAACTGGAGTATCTTTTGAATTCTAGAAATGAATTATCAAATAAATTGTATTAATATTAATCAGTGATATGAGAGTATAAATATTCATGATCCTAGTCCTTGATTCTTTTTTTTTTTTTTTTTTTTTGAAGAATTAAAAGTAGAATGTTTTTTAAGCATTTATGAATTTGAGTTAGGGA